GTTACCTGTGTTGATTCATTAAAAACTGCAACAACTCACCTCTTCCTGCCTCTCAGCCTCTGCATTTATGTCCTCAAACCCTGACAGTGACTTCAGTGCCAACTTATACGACTAGTAAACGCGTATGATCCCCATATCCTAACAGTGATTTCAACTACAATTTCTTTCTTTCTATTGCATCTATTTTTGGTTACATATCTGTACCCTATACCAGAGGTAATCAATGTGGGGTACCGCAACGGAGGTCACAAGATTTAGTGTTAACCAACTATTTTTTCTTTTGACTGCTGCTTTTGATTTAGTCAATATTGTTTTATCTCATCTAGATCATGCTGTTGTCTAAAGCACGACTTTTAATATTTTTTTAATTCTACCAGAAAGACAGATGATGAAAAAAATATTTTTGTCTAGTTTCCTTAGTTTTCCTTTTTGTATATATATTACATTTTTCAATAACTATTAATTTTTTTAAATACGTTTTTCTTTTCCTTTGCTGTAGTCTAATTTAGCCTTCTGCTCTTTTTTCTATTCTGTATCTTTAATCTAATAAACATTTATACTTTGAGTTCCCATTTGCTTTGCTATTAGAAATAAAGGGTGTGCCTATTTTATTCCATCCATCCATTCATTTATGACTGGTGTCCAATTGACAAAGTAATCACAATAAAGTTAAATTCTATTCTATTCTACAAATGCAAGGGACTTCTGCTGCATGTACTAAAGTCGATTGTATATCATAGCATTTTACTCTTTTTTTATTCTTTTTTCTTTTTTTTTTTTAAATCAGTGTATGCCAGGGTACTAAAATGAAAAAAGAAAAAAACATACAGAAGAAGGGATATGTTACATTCAGATTTTTTAGCTGTTGTCTACATTTTACCAGAAATCACATGCACCTAAAATTCTGGGTAGTAAGATAACGGCTGCAAATAGAGCATGAAGCACTGACCTCTGTGTGTTTGTCTGGGTCCCATATTTGCTGCTGGGAAATGCTTTTCTCCCCCTCAGTGACGGGAAATCTTAGCAGACAATTGCATAACTCTCAGTCATACCCAACTAACACTGCTCTAGAAAACATTATTTTCCTTAGTAAAGCAATGTAATATTCCAGTTTGCAGCTGAATGATGATTGACCATCAACTCAGAAGAAAAAAATCTAAGTTTCTTTCTAGTGTTTAAATCTTAAGAACACAAAAGGTATCTAAGATAGTTGGCTGCAAATACCACTTTTGTACATGAAGCAAAGGTAGCTTTCATTGGTAAACCAAGTGGCTTGACAGAGGTTGCTAGCAATGCTCTTATTTAGAATAGATTAGAATAAAATAGAATAGAATGAAACAGTGGGGTGACAGCAAGGGCGTAGGAATATGTTTACAATTGGGGGGGACACATGTCGGAAATCTGAGATTCGTAAATATTCAAC